GTAAGGAACGCGTGCCAGGATCCCCGCTAAGCAAGGTGCACAAAAAAGATCTCTAGGGAGAAATCAACGGTAAGCAAGAAGTGATCCAACCAGATGTTTCTCTCTCCTCTCATGACCGCCTCACTCGGGAAGACGGCACCAGCCACTTCCACCTTTAAATGCGGATGTAAATGAGCCGAAATTTCTCCGGGTGTTCCCTGGTGGTTACGCCACTGACGCTCCCGCGTCTCCGGACGTTTGGAGGTCACTTGGCATCTAGGAAGTGTGGCCCCCACAGGCTTTCTTCTCCCGTGTCTTGGACTTGACTTATGTCTTGTGACTGGCTTTGTCCAGCCACAGAGTACACTCTCAGTCTTGTCCTTACTATGGCTTTGTCCAGCCACAGACTACACTCTCAGTCTTGTCCTTACTATGGCTTTGTCCAGCCACAGAGTACACTCTCAGTCTTGTCCTTACTATGGCTTTGTCCAGCCACAGACTACACTCTCGGTCTTGTCCTTACTATGGCTTTGTCCAGCCACAGACTACACTCTCGGTCTTGTCCTTACTATGGCTTTGTCCAGCCACAGACTACACTCTCAGTCTTGTCCTTACTATGGCTTTGTCCAGCCACAGACTACACTCTCAGTCTTGTCCTTACGGATGGCTTTGTCCAGCCACAGACTTGTCACGCAAGATAAAATTCAGCGAGCTAAACTGGCTTACTCGTAGCCCATACAAGGCTTACGAGCGGGTTGGCGCTGTAAAACAGTGTGTAAAGAAAAAATTAGTAATACTTGGTTAAATCTTGGTGCTTAAGGCTGCAGGGAAGGCTCAGGCAGGCAAATATGGCGCCTGCTTTAGACTAGCGATGGTAGCAACTGAAGATGTACAGGTTCGTAAGTGCTTGCGTAAGTGCTTTCGTGAATCTGGCCCCTGGCCTCCACACACTGGTGAGAGTAGAGGCCCAAATGACATACTAAGCCTGCTTTTCTTGCGATTTTCTCACTCCTGTTCCGTCTTCAAATCTGCGACAGCTAATACCAAGCCCATAGATTCGAATCCTCATCACAGCTCCTACGGATTTTCTCTATGGCAGCTAATACATAGTGACGTCAACCGCGCTACACATAGATAATGATGTGTACACGTTGACAATTCCACGTTAATTCAGGTTCGAACCCTCGTCACGGCCCTTGTAGATTTATCCACGTGAATCTTATTTATTTTCATATCTACTTTGCCATGAGTGGTAAAACCTTATCTTGAGATGATTTCGGGCCTTAGCGTCTCCGCGGCCCGGTCCTGGACCAGGCCTGCTGGTTACTGGACTGGTCAACCAGGCTGTTGGACGCGGCTGCACACATGAGATTCTTTGTTGACCCCGTGCGGACCCGTGCCTCAACCTGGCACACATCCAGGGCACTGTCGCGATGTTTAAAACATTCAGTTTTTAAATACCAAATATTAAAACACATTGTTACGAAGATAACGAGGCTGGTAATGCAAAGTTAGTGAGGCTGTAATTGTCGTTATGACCTAGAAGGGGCAGTTCCCCCCCCCCCACATACCCATGGCCAAGAAGGGGCAGTTCCCCCCCCCCACACACACATACACAAACCACATCTACTACCTTAATATTCCCGCCAAGAGCTGGAGAAACTGCCCACCTGCCCCCCCTCCCCCCACCTTCAACTGGTGTCCACATTATGAATGAAAACATGATGTGATTGGCTAGCGTGTCAGAACCACATTACCACGGTGGTAGGTTCATTGTAGTGGCTGGCCAGGGTGTGGCCACTCCTCTTACCCCCCACATCACACCTGCTGGGCCACACCCTTACCACACCTGCTGGGCCACACCCGCACCACACCTGCTGGGCCACACCCTCACCACACCTGCTGGGCCACACCCGCACCACACCTGCTGGGCCACACCCGCACCACCCATGTTGAAGCACGTTCTCTTTTGATTTGAGTTTGTTGTTGTTTAAGATTCGCTACTGGGAACAAAAAGTTCCAAGTAGCACGGGCTATGGCGAGCCCGTTGTTGATTCGAGTGTTCAAAGTTGTATCTACGCCACTCCCCCGTACGAAGTAAACACACTGGACTAAGGCTCGTTCTAAATGACGTGAGAACCTGTACAGTTTTCCAGTGATTACTGTCTTAGAATACCAGCGCATCCCTGACTGCTGCTGTTATAGATTCAGCTACTCGGAACAAGTTCCAAGTAGCACGGGCTATGGTGAGCCCGTAACTTACCTGGCACAGGAGCGGGGCAAGTAGCACGGGCTATGGTGAGCCCGTAACTTTCCTGGCACAGGAGCGGGGCAAGTAGCACGGGCTATGGCGAGCCCGTAACTTACCTGGCACAGGAGCGGTGCTGAATCACATCCCTGGCTGCTTGCTCACTCACGCTACTGCTTACATTCCCCCGAATTCTGTTTTACAAGCAAAATGGAAAGCGAACATTTGAACACAATATTATCAAACGTGACTCTGGCTTGCCTTGAAGTTACCTTGAGGTGCTTCCGGGGCTCAGTGTCCCCGCGGCCCGGTCGTCGACCAGGCCTCCTGGTTGCTGGACTGATCAACCAGGCTGTTAGACGCGGCTGCTCGCAGCCTGACGTATGAGTCACAGCCTGGTTGATCAGGTATCCTTTGGAGGTGCTTATCCAGTTCTCTCTTGAACACCCAGGCTGCCCACCCAGGCTGCCCACCCAGGCTGCCCACCCAGGCTGCCCACCCAGGCTGCCCACCCAGGCTGCCAAAACCTCTCCTCGAAGTTCGTGGGACTTACCAACAAGAGGACAATTTGTAGAAATGCGAAGGAATGAGTTAATTCGAATATAATCTTAATCCTTGCGACCACCGGTGTGTTCTACCGGGTATAATGTATGTGGGGACTATGGCATCGCACACACACTGCCCACTACGACAGGCGCACCATTAACCCTAAAATACTAGCCTAACCTATCCTCTTATCTTGAGGTTATCTTGAGATGATTTCGGGCCTTAGTGTCCCTGCGGCCCGGTCCTCGACCAGGCCTCCACCCCCAGGAAGCAGCCCGTGACAGCTGACTAACACCCAGGTACCTATTTTACTGCTAGGTAACAGGGGCATAGGGTGAAAGAAACTCTGCCCATTGTTTCTCGCCGGCGCCTGGGATCGAACCCAGGATCACAAGTCCAGCGTGCTGTCCGCTCGGCCGACCGGCTCCCTTGTTGCCGTGCGTGGATGAGAAACTATGAATAGCCAGCTAGTTGAGCTCAGCTAATTAATAATAGTCAGCTAGTTGAGGGCAGAATAAATCTCACTCAAGCATGTAGTTAACAAGTCATCCGACAACCAGGATGACTGCCGCTAAGCTGGGCATACAAGAGGTCAGGTCACACCCTACCATATCGGAGCCAATACGGCTTGAAATTTTAATTTGTTCGGAAGATGGTTATCTGAGAAGGGCCGGAGGCTGGGTAGGGAACCTTGGCTGTGACTTCACAGACTTAGGACTGGCTCCCTGGCGGGGGACCTCCAAGATAGTGAGGTCGTCTCAGGTCATTGTCTTCTGATAATATTTGATGCTAAGCAGGAAGCGGTTAGAACACACATTATTGGCTTGTGTATACACCAGATCTGGCGAGGCTGTGGGGGTCTGGGTGCCAGGGTGGGGGGTGCCAGTGAGGGTGAGAAGGGGGGGTGCCAGGGTGGGGGGGGGGGTGCCAACACACAGCATCACCGCACCAGGGACCTACTTTCTCCTCTACAGCTCTCGGCCTACCCACTTGAACGCTGCTGACCCTGAGTGAGTACTGGTCTGATAATTAACATTGCTTGCTTATAGTGCGTAGAGGTCAATGTTGTTTAAGATTCAGCTACTGGGAACAAAAGGTTCCAAGTAGCACGGGCTATAGTGAGCCCGTAGTGGACTTACAGGAGCGGAGCTGTGACTGCTGGTCAAGAGCAGAATGAGAGTTATAGGTCGAGCTGAACAAATCCACAAGGGCCGTGACGAGGATTCGAACCTACGTCCGGGAGTATCCCAGACGCTGCCTTAATCGACTGAGCTACGACATGGTCAAGCTGTTTGGCTGTGATGATTGATTGATGAAGATTAAGCCACCCAAGAGGTGGCACGGGCATGAATAGCCCGTAAGTGGTGGCCCTTTTGAGCCATTGCCAGTATCAATAGACGATACTGGAGATCTGTGGAGGTGCGGGGGCACCCTGCGTGACGGGAGATGTCTCCCGTGTGTGTGGCTGCGTATGATGACTGAGGTGTCCATATACATCGCTAGTACCTATCCCATCATCCCAGTATACTAGCCAAGCATGAGGATCGGTAATCCTTGCCTAGTCCTCCCCTGTGCCCCATCTCACTCAAAACAGAATTCTTAAAATAGAGATGTGAATTACCCGGTAACATGATAGATGTGGATCCCGGCATTGTTTCAAGCATAAGACATATATATGAATGAGTTTGGCTTGATATAAACAGGAGCCGGTCGGCCGAGCGGACAGCACGCTGGACTTATGTTCCTGTGGTCCCGGGTTCGATCCCGGGCGCCGGCGAGAAAGAATGGGCAGTTTCTTTCACCCTATGCCCCTGTTATCTAGCAGTAAATAGGTACCTGGGTGTTAGTCAGCTGTCACGGGCTGCTTCCTGGGGGTGGAGGCCTGGTCGAGGACCGGGCCGCGGGGACACTAAAAAGACCCGAAATCATCTCAAGATATGATAAAAAAAAAGAAAAATAGGATAGAATAGGATAAAAAAAAGTCCTTCGCCAGCATATTCTTAAGTATGATATGAGACTTGTGAAGGAACCCGAGGCATCGTAGTGAAGGTGTGGAGGACTATGGTGGGAGGACAGGGAGACAGGGCTGAGGACAGGGAGACGGGGCTGAGGACAGGGAGACGGGGCTGAGGACAGGGAGACGGGGCTGAGGACAGGGAGACGGGGCTGAGGACAGAGGGTAGCTGAACAGCAAGACAAGGTGGCTAGACTAGCCCAGGAGACTCACCTTGAGGGCGCAGAAGATGCAGGCCTCAGACATGCAGGCGTGGCCATTCAGCTCCCGGAAACTCCGCCGGAAGATGTCCAGATGCCACAGCACCTGAAGGAGGAGACAGGGAAGGTGGTCAGCTGGGGGGTGAACACACCACTCAGGCAGCAGGGCGAGTACTACCCTGTAGCGAAGTGTAATCTCCACTACCACAACACATATCATTAACACACTTACCCAATACACTTTAAACACTTACGACAGATTAAAAAGCCAAAACATAAATTGTCTGAGATAACTTACAATCAAAGCTGTGATATAAACAAATCAATACCGAGGTTCGCTTATGAGGTTAGTGTATAAAGTTGTTCAGGAGTAAGTAAGTAATTATCAAAAGAAGGCACCAAACCGGGAAGGCTGTGTAGCACCATCAAATGCGCAGAATAATCAGAGGGTGTGTTCAGGAGTAAAAGGTAGTCTAGTAGGCTCAGGAATCTGTACACCAGTAGATTGCCGGTCGAGAGGCGGGACCAAAGAGCCAAAGCTCAACCTCCCCGCAAGCACACCTAAGCGAGTACACACACTGGGGAACCACACTGTACAATTTCACGCTCAGATTGTCGCCATGATTACGGTGAAAATAGGAGTAGCAGTCGTCGACCTGAGCGCCCCGCCACCACCACCAGGAGGGAGCCACTCCTAGCCACGCAGTAAGGCGCACACACCCGCTACCTCCATCACTCCTGCACACTCAAATGAATGACAAAAACTGCAGGAAAAAAAATGCGGAACTTATTTTCCATCGACTATCATCTAGGCAGCGCAGTGTGGCGGGCGTGGATGATCTTCCTGGTGGTGAGGGCAACAGCCCGCCTCATAGGCACCTCAATCGTTTCTCTTCCTAGCAGCAGGCATTTCAGGTTAAGTTTCAAAGTCAAGGTGGTGGGCCAGTGCCTCCAGAGTCACTACTGGTGCCACACCTGCCTGCCACACCTGCCCACCCACCTATATGGTTGCCGAGTACTGGTGAGTGGGGGAGGCGTAGGTGTGTGAGGGGAATATGAGAAGCCAGTATGAGGGAATGGAAAGTCGGTGATAATAATAACGAGGAACTCCCTTACTGCCGCCAACAACGGGTACACACACATTTGGGTTCCTCAGTATCTATACACAAGATGCGACAATGCAAAGTTTATGTCTGTAAATAAGAGAGATGGGAATATATGGGTGGTGGTGTTGTGCATGGATGGTCCCGTCTGCACCAGGAAGGATGGGGACCCTGGCGCCGGCACCACTTCTCCACACTCACCCACCCACCCACACACACACACACACACACACACACCCACACACACACACACACACAAACCCCCCCCCCCCCCACACACACACTCGTTTGTAGTAAATACGATAGAGAAAAATAGGTCGGGAGTCTGTACATTATTACACAACCAATGGTTAGAAAAAAAAGAGTCCAAGAGCTAAAGCTCAATCACTAAAGCACGGAGATGACAAGATTATGTGGTGGTCTCCTGGCAGCGCAGGACCAGGCCGCCTCCTGCACAAAGTTGGTTTATACAACTAACAAAGATTGATTGATTGATGAAGATTAAGCCACCCAAGAGGTGGCACGGGCATGAATAGCCCGTAAGTGGTGGCCCTTTCGAGCCATTACCAGTATCAAAAGATGATACTGGAGATCTGTGGAGGTGCAACTGCACCCTGCGTGACGGGAGATGTCTCCCGGACCAAGTGGTGACCAAATGGTGGAAACAACTAACAAAGCTTCGCATCCCTATATATAAGAACAAAGGTAACTGCAGAAGGCCTATTGGCCCATACGAGGCAGCTCCTATTTATAACAACCCAACCCCACTCATATACATGTCCAACCCACGCTTGAAACAATGGAGGGACCCCACCTCCACCACGTTATGCGGCAATTGGTTTCATAAATCAACGACCCTGTTACCGAACCAGTATTTACCCAAGTCTTTCCTAAATCTAAATTTTTCCAATTTATACATGTCCAACCCACGCTTGAAACAATCGAGGGACCCCACCCACCTCGAGGGACTCCACATTAATGAATTAGTTACGTTAACCGGTTTATTAATGTGTACCCACATTATAATCAGAGAACACTGCATAAGCCTACAAGATATACCAAAATTTGTGTAACAAAATTTTACAAATTCTTACAACCTGGTTGATCCAACACGTGCTGCAACAGATTTGTAGGCTGCTGCAAGCAACAATCTAACTGATCAAAGTAGCACCAGTCTGTGTGCCGGTGTAAGAACATTAGAACATAAGAACAAAGGCAACTGCAGAAGGCCTATTGGCCCATACGAGGCAGCTCCTATTTATAACCACCCAATCCCACTCATATACTTGTCCAACCTGCGCTTGAAACAATCGAGGGACCCCACCTCCACCACGTTACGCGGTAAATGGTTCCACAAATCAACAACCCTGTTACTGAACCAGTATTTACCCAAGTCTTTCCTAAATCTAAACTCGGCTTCCCGTCATTCCCGCGAGTGTCTTCAGCTGATGTAGCTATCAATGAGAGAAGCTGAAAGTGGTGTGTCTGGAGAGACGTTTACAAGTTGCTCAAGACGATAACATACACGAAGCACGTGGCTTGTCATGCCTGATGCTAGAACGCACAGTTGTGTTGCTCTTGGGTAGTAAGTCTCCTCGCTACACCCACTAACACACCAGGTGCTCCAGACGAAAAAAAAGAATAATTTGGTTATGCCATTCAACACATCTGGCCACATCTCTGAACTTTAGTTTTAGCAAGTGAAGAGGTTGATAAGAGGGTGTTGGCAGTGGGAGAGGTGGACCCCCCTCCCCCCTTGAGGTTACCTTGAGGTGCTTCCGGGGCTTAGCGTCCCCGCGGCCCGGTCGTCGACCAGGCCTCCTGGTTGCTGGACTGATCAACCAGGCTGTTGGACGCGGCTGCTCGCAGTCTGACGTACGAGTCACAGCCTGGTTGATCAGGTATGGCCCCCCCCCCAGGGCACACTATACTGTCACCCATTCCCCCCCCCCCACAAACCCCCACACACTCCCCTACCCAAGTACCCCTCCCCCCCCCACATACACCATTCTGGTCGCCTTGGTTAATATTTGAAGATAATTACAAGATGTCAACTATCCTTACATGTAACAACAGGAGGGTAATATTAATGGCGGGCTTAACATAACACAAACTACACCATGAAACGATGGACACAAAAGTATACACATTAAGATTCAGAAAAACCCTAAATAAATACGGAATCTAAATATTAGTCTGTTAGTTTATGTAACCGATTGTCAGGTAAAATAATAATCGTGGTTGAGTATAAATAGGACCTGCCTTCACGAGAGCCATTCTATTGATACTGGTAATGGCTCAAAAGGGCCACCACTTACGGGCTATTCATGCCCGTGCCACCTTTTGGGTGGCTTAATCTTCATCAATCTTGGACACATTCACCATTTGGTCACCATTTGGTTCGGGAGTCATCTCCCGTCACGCAAGGTGCAGTCGCACCTCCACAGATCTCCAGTATCAGCTCTTGATACCGGTAATGGCTCAAAAGGGCCACCACTTACGGGCTATTCGTGCCCGTGCCACCTTTTTGAGTGGCTTATCTTCATCATCACGAGAGCCATGCGTAGTCTGCTCTCTACGAATAGAGGAACCTGCAGAGGCTGTGTAGACGGGGGAACAGGTGTGACAAGACCCCACCATCAACAGGTGCGTGTGAGACGCAGGAATAATCCTCCCCTACAGAGGAAAAGGTAGATGTGACGCCGCTCCCTTGACGCCGGGACGCTCACCCTTACACCACCCAGGTATAGGGACCATTCTTCCCTCCTCCCCGTGCCGGCAAGCCCCCACCAAGGGAGCCTGGTCACTGCTCGACAGTCTGATGGCGATCTCAAAATGAAAACAATGGACTCTGACGTACCAATTTGATACCCCCTAGCTAGGGGGTGATAAAAGGGTGCAGGGGTACTAAACCAGGGGTTGACACACCCTTCCCACAGTGTTTTTTTTTTTTTTTGAGATATATACAAGAGTTGTTACATTCTTGTAGAGCCACTAGTACGCGTAGCGTTTCGGGCAGGTCCCTGGAATACGATCCCCGCCGCGAAGAATCCTTGTTACAACCAAGTACACATTTTACTGTTGCGTTAAACAGAGGCTACAGTTAAGGATTTGCGCCCAGTAAATCCTCCCCGGCCAGGATACGAACCCATGACAAAGCGCTCGCGGAACGCCAGGCGAGTGTCTTACCACTACACCACGGAGACTGTATACACTGTCTCCGGTTTATACACTGTATAAACATCAGAGGTCCGCGGTTGTTCAACGTCCTCCCAGCAAGCATAAGAAATATTGCCGGAACAACCGTGGACATTTTCAAGAGGAAACTAGATTTATTTCTCCAAGGAGTGCTGGACCAACAGGGCTGTGGTGGGTATGTGGGCCTGCGGGCCGCTCCAAGCAACAGCCTGGTGGACCAAACTCTCACAAGTCAAGCCTGGCCTCGGGCCGGGCTTGGGGAGTAGAACAACTCCCAGAACCCCATCAACCAGGTATCAACCAGGGGCTCCCATACCCCGTGTGAATTTAGAAACCAAATAACAGGGGTATGGAGACCAGACCACACACTAGGCGGTGAAGGGACGAGGACATTTCGGTCCGTCCTGGATCAATCTCACAATCGACTTGAGAATGGTCCAGGACGGACCGAAACTGGTGACCAGGACGGTCATGCTGGTGCCTAATAGGTCCAAATGGTGGACCTATTATAGTTTCCACCGTCTGGTGAAGGGGGACTGGAGGTACACTGGCTTTGTAATCGTAAATAGGTTAGCCAACCCTTCATCTAGTACGACTTTACGGGCTATTCATGCCCGTGCCATGGCTTAATCTTTATCAATCTAGTACGACTCGCGACCACATTATTATATCGGGGTGTCCACCGACCCATAACAGGAGGCTGGCAACTCTAGCATTATTAGACTCATTCGATGTGTAGTTGTGTTGGTCGTGGGTCGAGGCTTGAGGAGCGTCGTGAACTATTGAGGACAGATGTGTGTGTGTG